GGCACAAAATTACAAAAAAAAGGTAAAAAATAGTCAAAAAATTCCAAAAAAAAATTAAAAATATTAAACATAATGTTAATAAAAATGTAAACTTAAATTTTAAAATAAATGATTTAAAAAACCTATTATCTAAAATTAAAATACATAAGCATAACATGTAAAGTGTATTTAAATGAAAATTTAAAAATAAAAGCAAACATATAAAGCATTTTCAAGCATGTAAAACCCACAATCTCTTTTTATCCTTAATTGCATTGCTTCAAGTAGTTAATGTGATGTAAAACATATTGCGTTCTTGATTCTATGAGTCGCCTTTGTAGCATGCCCGAACAAGTCTATGTTAGGGTTTGAAATTCTTATTTCTCACATAAAAAATAATGATTTTACAACTTTCATTGCCTTTTAAGAAGATATTTTATTGCAATGGATGAATGAGCAACATAAACAAATAGGGGGTTCTCAGAGCTTCGAAAACCCTAACATAGACTTGTTTGGGCTTGCCTCGAAGGGCATGGGCTGAGGCGCAAGGTGCGCCTGATGCGCACCTTTTAAAACACTACACTAGCCCTTTTTCCTTTCTCCTCTTTTTAAACTCCACACACTCACTTGCAATGAGGATTTGGTCTATTATCTGTCTTCCAAAAAAAAGGCGTCCCAACCAAGGTTTAAAATTTCAATATGATACAACCTGTATTTGGCATATCATGTCGTATATTTTACCTGTCAATACACCTATTTAAAGGTGTTTTGAAGAAACCTTTTTTTTAATAATTAAAATACATAGAAATAGGCCCAGCCTGAAATTTTGAAAAATAAACTAAAAAAAAGCACAGGGTTTAAAGTATTGATACACCACTTCTGGCATATCGGGGTGTATTGATATTTTGAACCTTGGTTCCAACTATATGATGTTGGCTACATGAATCCTGCTTTGTCATTTTGTTCTGTTCTGTGCCAGTATTGGTTGAAATCTTAAAGGATTAAAGACTACATAACTGACTTGTGTGTTGATTGAACCCAAAACAAATAAGAAAATTATAAAAGTAACCAGTATACGAATTATAAAAATATTATAAACCACCCTCAAAATCTTGGGGTCTGGGGAGGGACAGATGCATGCAGCCTTACCCCTAAATATACACAGAGAGGCTGTATCCAAGATTTGAACCCTGGTCAAATAGGTTGCAATGGAGCAACCCAACCATTGCATCAAGGTCCACCCTCCAAAACATAAAAATATCTTTTGTAATACTATAAATATCATAAATAAAAATATAAAAATACTATTTAGTGACTTGTACAAAAATATGTAGGCACTTGGGCAAGGCGACCTTCCAAGGGTACCTTGTTGCTTAGGTGTCACCATGACAACCATGGTGATATCTTGTCACCTTGGGGACCCCCATCCCATCCTCAAGGTAAATACTCTTTTCATTTCTTGTTCAATCAAGGCAAGAAAAATGAAACCCATACAATATATAAAGGGAACCCCTCCAATCAAAAGAGGTTTTCTCATGCACAAAATTATAATTTAAAATATATTGGCCTATGATTTTTAAGTGTTGATATAATCCCTTTTGGATGTGAGCAGGCTTGCGTGTTGCCTTCTAGTCCTCAAGCAAAAACTATACTATTATTAATAATTCAGAGAGGGAAACCAAAAAATATAGCAATGGTTGAACCGTTGAAGTCACTAAGCCAATTTTCTGGTCCCCCGAGATCTGTTGAATTCTGTTAAATTGCTTTTTGACATTCAGAAGCAATTTAGTTATTAGCTGCCTTCCAGGTCTAGATGCCAAATTCTGATATTATGGAGGTTGAATATAATTTCTTAAAACTATTTACTCAGGCTATACCTACACGATAAATTAAAACTATGATAAGTATATAATATATCAAAGGTAGATGTATTAAGTAGATGAATCTCAAGGGAAGAAAGAATGCAGTTGTTCAAAGGGTGGAGTGTTGGAAGGGATAGAATCGTAGTGACACACATGCAGTTTGCAGATGATATCATTATCTTTTGTGATGGGGAGAATAGAATTTGGTTGGAGAACTTAAAACTAATGGTGAAGTTGCTTGAAGAATCTCTAATTTGAAGGTCAATTGGACTAAAGCCTAAAAGCATGATAGCAAGAATAAATATAGGGGAAGATGAACTAAGGCATTGGGCAGAAGCCTTGGGGTGTGCTTGTGGTGAGTAGCCAATGAATTATTTAGGTCTCCCCTTTGTGCAAACCGTATATCTAATAGTCGGAACCCAGTAATGTAGAAAGTGGAAAAGCGATTACTAGATTAGCCATCTAGAGTAGGAATTAGAAGGAAACTGATCTGTTCGGTGTTTGTTGATAACTCCTGGGATTTGGGCTTGAGAAGAGGTCTAAGGGATTCTGAAATGGGGATGGTTGATGATTTGATCACTCAGTTAGGGGAAGTCTTTCTTGATCAGTCCTGTAGAAATAGCAGAATTTGGAAACCTACCCCTTCTAGTTTTTTCAATTGCTCTTCTTTCTATAACATTTTGCTTCAGATCTCTAACCTTGTAGGGAACTTTCCTTCAAAGGAGGTGTGGGGTAGCCCTGTACCCCCCTAAAATTCAGGCCTTTTGTTGGGAAGTGGCACTCCAAAAAATCAACACCTTGGATTTATTGCAGAAAAAGATGCCATATATGTGCTTCTCCCCCCATGTTTGTTGCCTCTGTTTGGGTTCTGGTGATACAATTTCACATTTACTAATCTCATGTCCCTTTGTGTTCTTTATTTGGTTTTGGTTCTCTTCTCTCTTTGGCTGTAGGTGGACTCCCTCCTCAAGCGTGGTGAACCTCTTTGATCCAACTTTTTACAGGCAACCAACGGTTCGTGGAAGGATTATGTGGGGAGCCACTAGAACTGTTGTATTGTGGTCAGTGTGGGAGGAAAGAAACAATAGGATCTTTAAAGGCAGATGTAGATCCAAAGAAGAGGTTGTGGAAGGAATAACTACTAAGGTTATCCATTGGTTGAAATCCTGTGATCTTTTTAAGGATTTCTCAGTTGAAGACATTTATAGAAGTTGGGGTATTGTGGCATCTACTACTACTTCCAAAGCTATGATATAGGAAGTTTGGTCCCCATCGGCACAACAAAGGGTGAAACTGAACTTTGATGGAAGCTCTATAGGTAATCCARGCCCATCTGGTATAGGAGGTGTTTTCAGAGATAATGAAGGCAAGATAATGGCTTTGTTTTCAGGTCCAATAGGAGTTGGAGATTCCTTAAGAGCGGAAACCTTGGCACTACATCAAGGTGTAAAACTGGCCAAACAGTTGGGGCTACAGCAGATTGAGATAGAGCGAGACTCCAAGTTGGTAATTGGGTGGATGCAATCAGGGCAGCTGGGAATTTGGCAATATAGACAGCTGATAAGGAAATTCTTAGCATAACAAGGGAGGTGGGTGTTTGGTTCAAGTGGGTAAGGAGATCAGAAAATGGTTTTGTTGACGCCCTAGCAAAACAAGGGACTGTAAGGGAGAGTTTTTTGGGCAGTGCTGTAATGTTTGATGCTTATTGGATCAACCTTTTCTAATAAGGGTTGAATTCTGTATTTCAGGTTAATTTATCTCTAATGAAAGTTATCGTTTCTGATCAAAAAAAATATCTAGAGTAGGAATTATATCTATCTTGAGGGTTGGTTAACTTTGATTAAGTCCACTTTGGCTAATCTTCTCGTGTATTACCTCCTTGTGTTCAAGATGCCTTAAATGATTGTTAAAAGTATAAAGAAATTGATGAGAGAATTCCTTTGGGAACCTGGGGAGGGAAAGAAGGATCATTTGGTTAGGTAGGAAGTAGAAACAAGAAGAAAAGAGGACAGGGGATAGGGAATAGGTAGTATTACTAAAAAAGAATATAGCCTCCTTTAGAAATGGTTGTGGAGATTCCCAATTGAGATTGATAACTTGCACTCATGGGCTCTCAGACAAGGATGGGATGCTGGATTACGGCATGGAGTTACCCTTCACTTTGGAAAGTCATATCTGGTGCTCTTCTTTTGTTTCTTATGCACACTAGGTATGACCTTTCCTTTGGTAACAAAATTAAGTTTGGGAAGATACTTGGCTTGGGTGAAAGATTTGTTTCCCTCTCTCTTTACTATCCCTAACCTTGAAGGGTAAGCCCATCTTTGACTTTGTTATCCCTTCTAGGCTTCTACCTCACTTTTTGGGCTAGATTGCAATTTGGGTTTTAGGAGAAATCTAAGAGAAACTGAATTTCCTCTTGTTACTAATCTTCTGAAATGGTTGGAAGGCTGGTTTTGATGGGTCTAATGGGGACAAACGTCTGTGGGCTCCAAACCTTGATGGAAGTTTCTCTTGTGCTTCCCCGGGTGAGGACAATGAAATTGCTTTCAGACTTTACACTTGGTGACATACTCAGAAATTGGGGGCCAGTTGCACCTTCTTCTTCTAAAAAATCAAAAAACTATTAAAGAGTGGACAGCCCCTGGTAGAGGATGGTGGAAATGAAAATTTGATGGTAGCAGAATGGGCAACCTGGGGCCATCTGGTGTTGAGGGAGTAATAAAAGGTGAAAAATGGAAGTATTAGTGCAATGTATTAAGGCCGATACAAGGAAATTCAGTGAGGGTAGAGAGGAGGGCAGCAACTATTGGGGTGCAAAAAGCCAAGGAGATGTGTATTAGAAAGGATGAAGACAACTTTTTTTTGGTAGAGATGATGAAGACAACTTGGTGCTTCAGAAATGAAATCAGACAATTTAAAAGGTTTTCGAGGGATATGTAAATTGAGGTTCAAGGGTTGGGTGGGATAGCAGAATCTATTTTGTTCTCTAATTGATTGTATTCACAACCTGTTGTTTTACTTTCTATATTTTCTAATAGGCATATAATAATAGCTTTGTTCATATTCCATAATACATATGCTTCATATGTAATGGGATTATGAGAAGCATCAGGATCAGTGGAAACATTTCACTTTGCAAGAACTAAATAGTATACGCACCGCATTATGTTGAGAAGAGCTATATGTGGGCCTTCTAAGTGGAGAAGCTGAAGATGGAGAAGTGCTACGCATGCGTTGCAGATGGCGGCCATGTGTATTAGGATTAGAGATGTCTTCTGCTTCCCCTTCTAGATCACCACTGAAATTACCCTCAGAGCTTATCCTAGGAACAGCATTTCTAGTGATGGATCCCAAGTCAATTGTACCATCAACTTGAAGAGGAGCAGAAGGGCGAAGCATTGATGCTTGTATACTGTTCCTTTTCTTCATTTCCTCCTCTACATTTAAAATCTGCAGGAAATTGAGAAATCTAGTGCTTAGTAGTTAGCATTCTACAAATTAAGATTACTTTGAATAGATATCATATTGCAAAGTACAGGAAGTCAAAAACTATCTTTAGAAAAGCAGCACTATTTTACAAAAGTCTCTTCCTATAGATGGTCAAGAAGAAAAATGGAATAAAGCTTACCTGCTTTAGCATTTGTACTAGATTATGCTTCTTTTCATTTAAAACTTGCAATTTCTCCTCAAGCTCAGCTTTTCTTTTCTCTTTGTCACTCATTACATCCACATTCTTGCTTACCTGGCATGTAAGATATGATGAACAATTACTACAGAGGCAAAATGAATACAGGAAAAATAAACAAAAAAGGAAATATTGTGCATGCCCATTTAATTCCTCACAAAATCAACATCCATGTAATGTTAGTTTAGCAACTTCTAAAGTAGAAATGTAGCATATCACAGACAAATATAGCATAGTACTCTGGCTTGATCATATCACATGTGGTCATGACCTAGACTGAATCCATAATAGAAACAATGTAATGCTTCATGCTCAACACAAGGATCCTTCTATAGCTTGCATGCTGAAAGAAAGTGGTTTATGAAGGAGAATATATGCAAGTTCATGGATTTGATCCATGATAGCTATGCAATGGAGAATTGCCTGTGTAAATGCATGCAAATGGACAGATGATAATTGGAGTAGAGAACAGTATATGAGTCAGTTGGTGATTGATGATTGTTCTTACTAGGCCACCATCATTTATCCTCCCTAAGCATTCTCATGTGCCTCCCCCCCCCCTCCCAAAAAATAAATAATAAATAATAAATAAAAGGTAATTTATTGGAAAAACGGGAAACTTCAACTATATCCAAAATTCTTTAAAGCAAGAAATAGTAGCTACTAGGATGCTTCAATTTGTTACTAAAGTCAGGGAAAGTCCACTTTGAAGATTGACAAATAGAGAGAACGAATTAGGAGGAAAACATGTTTTTGAGAAGAAAAAGGAAGCAGAGCCATGATGAATAAGCAAGGATCATGAATATCACTTTGATTTGGTGTTGCAAAGACAATTCTAAGTAGGAAAAGCACTTGTAACTTGCAGATTACTTTTTCTTTTACTTTTTTTTTCTTGTTTAATATAAATTAACATCCATATTCATTATTTACTTATTTATTTATTTTCGCCTACAGAAGTCTTAAAATTCATATCTTTTCAGCTTACAAATTTGAACTTTGACTCCTGCAATCATGTCCATGCAAAATTACCCTAAGGGTGATTGAGCTCAACTTTCTAGATGCAATGAAAATGGATTGTTTTGGCGACAGGTTTAAATTCTTTCTTTAATAGTTTTCGGTTTTTCTTTATTCTATAATACTTATTTTGATTTATTCTTTGCGATCACTCACAACCACTCAGTTCCAGAAGAGTTTATCACTTCATTGAATGAAAGCATGCTGCACCAAACTGCATTTTCTTTTTCATCAAACTTGAGTGCAATATAACTCTCTCTAACACAGATACTAATGAATCGACTCTCAAACTGCCACTGGGATATCCTATAAACAACTCATTTTCTAGTTCCATAGGATTGATTACGTTCATCGAACCAGCAAATTATGTAGCAAAAAACAGAAGATATCGGTAAGACCAATAAACCTCCAACCCCGAAACAAATTAATGTATGTGATGGTCTAAATTGACCTGACAATTATATGTATTTGTGTTCGAAACCATAGATATTCTTGTATACGTGCTCCTTACCTCCATGAAGGGTTGGACCGAGTCCACCGGCTTCTCTTCTTGTAAATCCTTGGGGATACGGCCGCTTACGCTACCGCCGCCACCATCTTTTGGAGCACAGACGCTCTCTGGGACGACAGCGTTTGTGGCATAAGACGAAATAGAACCACCGAGTTCTCTGGATTGCTCAGCACGAGGATCGCAGTCTGCTTCATTTTGATCTTTGGCGTGTTCAACTGTTCCATGCTGGGATGGCGCATCTTCAGAATTCCTGGCGATGGTTGGCTGGGATTGGGGCTCAGAAGCGAGACAGAGCTTTCTCCCGTTTTGTTTGGAACAGCCACTGTCTCCAACGCCTTCCTCTTGTTTGAAATCAGGGTTAGGGTTGGGATTTGAGCTAGTGGGAGCGGTGGTGCTGGAGATGCGAGACAGAGCTTTCTCCCGTTTGCGGAGGAGAATCCTGAAATCTTTGAGGGAAATGCGAGGGATTGGCATGAGCCATCGCCGAGGGACGTCGGGCACCCTGTGCAGGTTCCCTCTGTACAGTGAGATCGCCACCATCTCGTTACTCGAATATCGATTGATCAAAAACGATGACGACCGCCCTTTCTGTTCCGTTTTCTGTCGCTTCCTTCTATTGGGAATTTGGACTCTCGAGTTCCGATCTCGGATTTCGCCCCTTTTTTCCTCGTCCGATTGGAATCTATTTTACACCGCATCCCACCTTGTATTATATTATACGTTTAGGAATGAGCATTATTCGGTTAAAATGGAAACACCAATCGAAAATTTGAGTTTCGTTTGTTTGGTTTTTAGTTAATTTGATTTTTAAATATTTCGGTTTCGGTTTTTAAAATTATAAATTCGATTAATTGAATAAATATAATTTTAATATATAATATATAATATCTAACATATAATATATAATGTATTATATATTTATATATTAATATATTAATATCAGGATATATATTTCATAATATATAATATATTATATGTTATAATATATATAATATAGAATATATTATTAAAATTTGATTTTAACTGAAATAACCGAAAATATCAAAAATTTTGGTTTCAATTATTTTATTTTTCATTCGTATATTTCTTAATTCGATTTCTAAAATTTTAATTTATTCAATTCAATTTTTAACCAAATAAACCAAATACTCACCTCTATACCCCACAGGCCACAAAACCATTGGTTGAATCCGACACTAAGGTGTGGTTTATGGACCTGTGGTGGGTAATTTTCCTTTCCATGATATTGAGCTCGTGATTAATGGGCCCATGCCATCCCAACTAGGGTTGGCCCATGGGCCAAACTACACCCTACAAGTTAACTGACCCAGCCCAAGCTTTAGGCCAAATTGGGCTGGGCAGACTTCCAAAGTACTTCTCTTGGGCTTAGATTGGGTTGTCATCCATATTTTCTCTACTTATCATGCCTAGGGCTGTAATCTATCAGATTTGGGTTGTATTAGATTTGGTCCATGGGCCGTATCATATCTGATGAAGGAAAATTTGGCCCGACCTCGCAATCACCCGACACGTGGCAAAAGCAAGCAACTCGGGGCAGCAGAGCATCCAAAACGAGCACCGAAAGTAACGAAGTCCAAGCTCACTACTGAACCCGAACTCCACTAGACTGGATTCTCTACTAGGAGCCTGAGCTCCGTACCAAGAACCCGAGCTCCCTATTAAGAACTCGAGCTCCCTACTGGGAGTCCGAGCTCCCTATTAAGAACTCGAGCTCCCTACTGAGAACCCGAGCTCCCTGCAAGGAGCCCGAACTATCTCGGGTCCTAAGCCTCACAAAGCCGTGACCCGAGCTGGCCCATGGCAGCTCGGAACACTCCCCAAACCGAACTCAAGACATCTCGCTCGCCA